CAAAAAAAAAAAAAATACAAGTTGTTTGTCTAAGAAATGGCAAGAGCTCAGTGTAGCTGAGGCCTAGGGTACAGGCTGAATGGGTAACTAAGAATAAAGACAGGAAAGCACAAAGGAGACGATGTAGCCCATGTCAGTATCCAGCCATCAGAGGCTGGTGATGGGGAGGATGCTCTGGGGACTCTACTTTCTACTCATATTCTTATAAACACAGCACTACTCTTTTTAAAAATTCTAATAATTTTTATAAAGGAAAGAAGTAGACAGGGTGCCAGTTGAGAAGAGTTCTACACAGCATACGTATCAGCCCTGACCATCATCCAACCAAACATTCCAACAAGGTAGGACAGCTTTGCTCTGTAAAGAAACTTCTGGTAATCCTTCAAGAAGAAGCATCAAGACCGAGAGAACTCAGTGCCAATAAGAAGAGAATAACAGAAGGAAGATGAGGTCAGTATGAATGGGACAGGAATGGTGGGGAGGAGATGGGGACACCAGACAGTGTCCGGACAATAGACGCAGTGACAGCTCTCCCTGTGCATCCTGGGATGTGGGAAAGGGAAGAGCAGCCTTTGCCTTGGCTTCCAGTGTAAGCTGTGTGTCTACAGTGGTGTGGTCAGACAGCAGAGACAGGTGGAATGGAGACCATGAGTGTGGTTTTTACCTGGGTGTAACTTTACCTGCCAAACACACGTGTGTACAGAGGCAGCTCACAACACAGGTATGGGACACGGGGAGGAGGCCAGGGGCATCCGGGAGACTGCTGGATATTATCATCCATCTGTGCGAGAGCTCATGAGTCAACCCATGGCATACTTGAGTAGTAACATATTGTGGGTTAAGCCAGTGAACAGAATCACGTCTGCTTCCTGACATTCTGGATATGAGAGCACAGTGCCCAGAGCTGCTTAGCTTGTCCATCAAGAAAGAAAAACCTTCTGAAATTCTCTAACTATTTTTAAAATGGTGTGTATGTTTTGTCTGTGTGTATGGCTGTGCGCCACAAACTTCTCTGGTGCCTGAAGAGGCAAGGAGGGGGCATCAGGTCCCCTGGAATTGGAGTCACAGACAGTTGTGAGCTGGCATGTGTGTGCTGGGACTTGAACCAAGGTTCTCTGAAAGAGCAGCCAATGCTCTTAACAGCTGAGCCATCTCTCCAGCCCCATAAAATTCTTATTTCAGACATGTTTACACCAGGCTTGTGTATAATATTATAGGCACTCTGGCTACTTAACAAATTACCCCAAAACTAAGTGGTATTAATAGTCATTTACTGTGCTCACAGATTCATTGGCTCAGACATGTGAATAGAAAACAGCTAGACACTGTGTCTCCACACGACTGTCTGAGGCTGGATCACCAAGAGGTCTTTCATCCATGTGCTGACAGTAGTTCATGCTAGTAGTTGACTATTGGTCCTTGGGTTTTGTCCATGTGGGACCTGCCCTATGTATGTGGACTACTTTAATACATCCCAGCATGACAGATGGCTGAGTTCTTAGGGTAGAGTCCAGAAAGACAAGGATAAACAGACAGAAAAAACTACATCTTATTATCTAGTCCTGGGAACCACTCTGTATCACTTCTGCATGAACCACCAGTCAGAGGAATCACCAGCCTTTAGCGAGATTCATTCATGCCAATGGTCAGAGTGAATGATGCAGACCCCAGCCATCCCTCTGTCTGGGAGGAATAAGAAGTGCATGAGGGATGGAAATGGGCACCACTGGCTTTGGGGTTTGAATCCATCCTGTAAAAAACCACAGGACCGTTTCAGTTCCCACATCTCTGACGTCAGGTTGGAGAGTTAACTCTTCATAAAAGCAGACAGGAGAGGGAAGGCAACACCAACTCGAGCCAGCAAACTTCATCCATGCAGTCTGCCCTGTTCCTTGAAGAGACACTCACACCCAAATGACACTGATATTCACTCACTGAGGAATAGACGCTGAACTCTGACTCGCCGGAGAAACTCACATTTCTCTTCACCTCCATAAGCGTCCCACTGAAGAGATGTGGACTAGCTAGGGGCTCAACTCAAGAAGCAAGCGGTCCTGTTGAAAGCTCCATGGGACACAGTCTCCCACCATCTTGTACACAGACAGCTACACCAGGGTACACTCAACTCTGCCCTCCTCAAAACAGGCAACTCTTCACTGGGGTCTGTAGCCTTTGGTGCTAATGTCCACATGAGAAGAGTGAAGCAGAAACAGTGTTCAGAAAAGAAAACACTAGATATACTGGTAACGGTGCCTTTAAACCAAGCAGGACAGGAGAAAAATCTTGTATTTTTTTTTCACCATCAAACACTAAGGAGTATAGATACAGAAGGAGCTTGTTCTCTACTAGCCTAGTTTTTCTCTACAAATTCTTAATCATTTAACGACTACAATTTAAAGACACAAATGAATACACTGTAACTAAGAAGCAGGACCCATGACTGCAAACATGACTCAATTGCCAAAGAAATAGAAAGGAATGAGCCAGGCGGTGGTGGCGCACGCCTTTAATCCCAGCACTGGGGAGGCAGAGCCAGGTGGATCTCTGTGAGTTCGAGGCCACCTGGACTACCAAGTGAGTTCCAGGAAAAGGCGCAAAGCTACACAGAGAAACCCTGTCTCAAAAAACCAAAAAAAAAAAAAAAAAAAAAAAAAGAAAGGAAGGAAGGAAGGCGTTAGGCAATCCTCCCCATAACTGGTGAATGAAAGGAAGGAAGGAAAGAAGGAAGGAAGAAAGGAAGGAAAGAAAGAAGGAAGGGAGAGAGAGAGAGAGAGAGAAAGAAAGAAAGAAAGGAAGGAAGGAAGGAAGGAAGGAAGAAAGGAAGGAAGGAAGAAAGAAAGGAAGGAAGGAAGAGAGAAAGAAAAAAAGAAAAAGTGATTGTCAACAGAATCTACCAATGCCTCGGAGCTATTTTTTAACATTTAAATAGGAACTCATGCAGAGATTTTATTATAATAAAGCTATACAAGTCTCAATCTTGACACCAGCATCCTGATGTGGATGTCTACAGGCATCTCCACTTAATCAGGCCCAGTTGCAAAAACATCACTATCTCCCTCGTATTCAAGATAGAAGCCAACACAATTAGACAAGAAAATAATCAGAGATATGAGAAGAATCAAAGTACCCCCACTTTGGGGCCATAATAGGACACCTGGAAACTCCAAAAGAATCCATGGCAAAAGCTGGCACAGCTGAAAAAGAATTAGGTAAAATAGCAGAATTTAAAATTAACATAAGATAACCATCATGAAATACCAATAACACACTCTAGGCATAGAGAGAGACATATGATGTCATGCATTGCCGGTGGGCATGCAAAGTAGTAAACCACCTATGAGAAGAGGTGTGATTATATTTATCAAAGTTACAGGTTTACTTAGCTTGTGAACCAGAATCTTATTTCTAGTCAAGTATCCCAAATAAATGCTAATAAAAATGAAATTTTAAAGCATTTGAAACAGAAAGTGATGAGCAATCTTTGGCATAATAGACATACAAGAGACAAGACACTGTGGTAGATAAAAATGACTACCACTCCTCTGGCACTGCTGGTAGCAACCCAGAACTAATAATCCAGCGGCAATGTGGAGGTGGTTAACCTAGTCAACTGGCACAGCCATTGGATGCAACACTACACAACGAAGAATACTGAAGTGTATGTCGCGTCTACTGTATTTTCTGATCTCCAAATGTGATGGGTTTGATGAGAATGTCTCCACACACTCAGATGTTTGAATACTAGGTCCCTAGTCAGTGGCACTGTTTGGGTAGGTTTAGAAGGCATGGCCTTACGAGAGGAAATATGTTACTGAGGGCGGGTTTTTTGTCATTTTGGGATTTTAAAAGCCACGTGCAATTCCCAGCGTGCTCTTCGCTCCCGGCTTTCAGTTCAAGACGTAAGTACACATTTTGCTGCTCTGGGCGCCATGCAGCCTGGCTGCCAGGCTTTCCCACTGTAATGATGATGGACTCTTACCCCTCTGGATCATAAACCCTTCTTTCTGTAACTTGGCTTGGTCACGGTGTTTTATCCCAGCAACAGAAAAATAATGAATATACCACAATATGAATTTTGTTGGGGGGGGGGAAGCCAGCTGTAGTGGTGTGCACATGTAATCCCGGTACTCAGGGGCCACGACAAGAAGACTGTGAGTTCAAGGCCAGTACAGCTATGTAGCAAGGCTCTGCCTTAGGAAAAGGAAAGAAAAGAAAAAGGAGAGAGAGGGGCAGGCTATGCACAGTAAGTTACTGTTACTCTCACAGGAAAGGAATGGGGATGAACACGCACTGTGTGTGATTTACTAGCCGTTAATCTAATAAGAAAGGAGCCAGGATGAACATGCACACACGGGATAACTTAGAGAGTTTATTTTAGCTAACAGTTCCCAAGGAATAGATGCCCATAACGGCAGGGGATGCATGGCAGCAGATGGCTAGAGCAGGAAGCTGAGAGATCACACCTCAGTCTCACACAGGAAGCAAGGGAAGTGAAGCAGAAACACTAAAAACCCGCCCCCAGTGACATACTTCCTCCAGCGAGGCTGCTCGTTGTAAAGGTTCCATCACCTCCCAAAACACCACCACCAACTGGGGACCAACTGTTCACCTATGAACCGATGCGGGACATTTCTCTGTAAACCATGGCAGAAGGCTAAACCAACCAAAACAAAAGAACAAAACCACTTCCGAAATGAGGTTACCTAAGGGGAGAAAGGAAAGCCATAAGGGAGCAAGCTGGACTAAAATGTGTCTGTCTTATTTTACACAGTCATCTTTGGAATTATGTATTTTCCTTAACCATAAAACAAGGACCATAGTGAACACAGAATTCTCCGTGCGCCCTTGTTGTTAAGGCTCCGAGCACATCAGCATGAAAAATGGAATTGGTAGAAATGGCATGGCCATCTGAAAGGTAAGCAGGCTTCCAGGGACGAAGTCGGGTGGTTAGCGGCAAGGACAGAAGACATTCTGAGGAGCGGCGGGACTTTAGCACTCACCTCAACTCTGCTCTCAGCTTCGTGCTCAGCAGCCGGGAAGTACACCACCTCCTGCACTTCGTCTCTGGGCCGTGCGGAATTTTTCCCAAACACCACCAAACCATCCTTAGCTCGAGGTGGCAAAGCCACGAAACAGTAACTTGGAGGAGCGCCAGACATCCTGCAAAGAGAAGAGCGGTGAAGGCAACAGCAGCAGGCTGGGCAGGGGACACTCCAACTGCCTGTGCGTGACCTGCACATCAGCAGCTAATGCAGGCTGACGGTTGAACTGCTTGCAGCTAACTCAGAACAGGATCCCGGCTGGCATTCATCTGGGGAATCTGAAGCAGAATTTGCACAGTTGCAGAGACCACGCATGCTTAGTCCTTTGTGGGGCTAAGTAAACTCAAATTGGCAACAGGCCATGGTGGCAGCCGAAAAAGAGCAGTGATGTAAGAGAAAGGAAAGGAGATTATTATTCCTGGCATCACACATGAGCGCGCTCACACACACAGACACACACACACACACACACACACACACACACACACACACACGCACACCGCACCACACCACACCACACTGCAATCTGTCATATGAATAAATGAATAAATGATATATAGTTGTCTTTTGGTATTTCAGGAGATTGATGCCAGGACCCTGCAGAAATGCCCAAGTCCCTCATTTAAAAGGGTGCAGTATTTGCTTATAACCTATACACATTTCCTGCAGGCTTTAAGTCATCTCTAGATTGTTTAGAATGTCTTACACAATGTAAATGCTACATAAATAATTCATATACTAAATGGTTTGGAGAGTAATAAGATGAAATCGCCTGTGCGTGTTGAGTTCAGATGTAATTCCCCCGTGCTGTATTTCTGTCCCTCAGTTGTCTGAGCCCACACACATAGAACCAGCAATGACACAGTGAGCCAACTGTCCCTTGTAGAAACGCCCTGGACCAGAGATGCATGGTGGCCACCCCTTAACAGATTTGGGCATTATGAGGAAAATGATTTGGAGACTTGAAAGGTATGGTCACTCTTTTAAAATAATGTTTACTCTGCCTCAATGGCATAATATGCAAGTACTCTGGGTTTTCCTCCACCTCTATGTTGGCTCCTGAGCTGGCTTCTTCTCACTTCCCCTGGTGGGGGTAGGATGCAAACATGCCCAGAGATTCCTTACACCAATAACTCCGACAGCTAAGCCCAGCTCAGTTCTCAACTTGAGTTTCCATCTCTTCCACTCAGCTACCTCTCTGAGGTCCAAGGCTGATCTTTCTCAAACTCGGTCCCTTCTCCCAGATCTCAGGACCAGCTCCACCATCCATCCTATTAGAGCGCCAGGCCTCAGAAATCATCCTTACCATCTGCTTCACCATCTCCTACAGCCCTCTGGGAATTAGCCATTCCCTTTCATCCCAGCTGCCGCCCCCCCCCCCATACACACACACCATCATCTCTAGTCATGATTACATGGGAGCCCTTCAGGAATTTCTGAAAAGCCTGTTTCCCACTTCAAAACGTTCTGCACACTGCTGCCAAAGCAACTTTTAAAAAAAGAACGCATTCAATGATGTAATCTCTGCCTTACATACTTTGAAAGTTGATGACAGCTCTTAAAACAAAGGCCTGATAAATAAGGTGTGATCAGTACGTGTTCCCCTGCCTCGGCTTCACCTCACTGCTCACCCTCAGCAGCGCACAGGCCTGTTCCCAGTTCTCCAACATCCCAGGGCCTTTGCTCCACTCCCACCCTCACCCCATTCATTCCGTGCTCCCTAAGTCTCTGAGGAATTCTCACAGCTTCCATTTAAATTCCAACACCGTTCTAACTCAGGGAGCACGCTACACCTCTCACAAATGCCTGTCCTTTACTTTTGAAGTAACAACCACAATCTGAAATACCTCTCTAACCATCTCATTATCAACACTTGATAGTCTCTCTCTCTCTCTCTAAAGACCACACACAAAATGAAAGCCTCAAGTCGCTTAACACGCCGCTACAAACCCAGATCCACACCCTGTCTTGTGTGGAGTAGGTTTTCAATAAACAAGTGTTCCTTTGTTGTTTTCTAGCATTCCACAAGCTGGAGTTTCTGTCTGCGAGTGTCTGCTTTGCCATCCTGCCTCAGCACCTGGCCTCAGAGACCTTTCCCTTGGTCTGCTTGCACAGCAGGATCTGATTCAAAGCTGCTTTTTTTCCAGGAGAGTTCTAGAAACTCGGTTAATTAGTCAGCATCCGTGAGTACTAACACACTCAGTTTTTTTCTAGAATAACATACATTTGTTGCTTGTAAATATATTTATTCATCTGCTTCAAAAAAAAAAAGCCCTTGAGGACAGGACCCATGCCACCCAATTACAGTAGCCCCCTCTCCAAGCCCAGCGTTAAAGACACTCACTGAGTCCACTTTCTGTCTGGGCCATCAGTTGCTCAACTAAATGCATCGTATTTTATGAGTCCAGAATTCAACAGAAGTAAAGCAGCAGCCTCTCAAAAGCTCTAGACAGCAGTTCTCAACCTGTGGGTTGTGACCCTTTGGAGCCAAATGACCCTTTCACAGACCAATGGACCCTAAGACCATTAAAAAACACAGACATTTACATTTACTATTCATGACAGTAGCAATATTACAGTTACGATGTAGCAGCAAAAATAATTTTATAGTTGGGGTCATCACAACATGAGGAAGTGTATCAAAGGGTCGCAGCATTAGAAAGGCTAAGAGCCACTGCTCTAGACTGAGACTAAAAGCTCAGCTCTACCGGCTACCAGCTGTGTGACCACGGGCAAACCAATCTACCTCGCTGAGCCTTGGTTTCTCGTCTGCAAATGTTTTGTCTCACCTCACACGCTTCTTACAAATGTCCAAGTAAATGACCCGGAAGACATAGTTTGTAAATGTCAAAGGCTGTGTAAATAGAAGATACCATGGGGGCTGACTTTTAAAATAGGGCGGCAGTCCAAACTTCCCCTGAGCAAGCCAGTCAAAATTCACTAGCTTCACTCACACCTACAGCAATCAAGTCTCAGAGTCAGCCATGTTTAGAAACTACCTTACTAGCTCTATCCCCGGGCTACTCCAAGCACAGGTCTTTCATTTAGAAGAGGTATTTGCAGAATACACAAAGCCCAAAGCTTTTTAGCAAGCACTATTCTTCTGCTTGCTCAGTAAGTCAGCTGGCTCACTGGGTCAAGTGACCATGAAGAGGACACAGACAACAGAAGCCAGCCAAGGAAGGTAGGGATCAGGGAGGCTGGCTTTTTCATTGGGTTTTGTGGACATCAAGGAATTCTAGAAGGTAGTGTAATCAATCAATCAATCAAACAATCTCTCTCTCTCTCTCTCTCTCTCTCTCTCTCTCTCTCTCTCTCTCTCTCTCAACCTCCCCACCTTGTGTGTGTGTGTTTAGCTAGAAGAACCCACAAACTACCTCATAACCATCAGCTGAGCTGTCACTTTAATGTGCCTGAGTCCCATCTACTAGCCTCAGAGATGACTGGGCAAGACTTCTAGACCAGCTGATGATTGAAAAGTCTCCAGCCCCTGGTGACCACTAGGCTTAACAATTTACATTTCAGCTGCCGTATGTGACATCTAAGAACTCTGATAGGTGGAGTGGCCATACTATTTCCAAAAGAAACCCAGACATGGATTTCTTTCCACATCAAGGTTTCTGCTAATCCTAAGGTACTTTGGAAACACTCCCCATTAGCCCAGTGACTAAATATGTGATCAGCCACCAAAACTGAATGATTGCCAATTGTAGGGCATGGTAGCAGACCAACCCCTTTTATTCTAGCATTCTGAAGGAAAGAGGAACTCTGTGAGTTCAAGACCAGCATGGTCTACATAACAAATTCCAAGCCAGCCCAGACTACATAGTGAGACCCTGTCCCAAAACAAAACAAACAAACCACCCCGACCCTCACCACCCCCACCCCTGCTAAAATTAGGAAAGAAGAATGGGATGCTTCTGGAGACTGGAGAAAACGTCAGGAAGCAGCAACTGAACTGGTCACAGTAGCTCTGGAGAAGGCACTAGACATTCTGAACCGATATTCTTTTTACCACGATGCGAACATCATGGTGCTAAGGCAGAGTCCACAAGGAAAACGACCTCATTTTAACCTGCAACGTTTTGTTTACTTCCTCTCTTTGGTTTATGAGTGATTTTTGATGCCTCCATTTTTTTTTTCCTTCAAACTTCCACCCACTTCCTTTAAGCAGGCTTGGCTTCCTAGCCCACAAAAAAGTGCTAAGTGTGCAGGAAAAGTCCATGAGGCCTCAGCCTTACACAAAGAACTATAGCAACTGAGTCAAGCTGGGAGCAGGAGAGGTGGCCCTCCAGGGAAGGGCACACCAACTGGTTATCCAGTGCCAACAGTCAGTCCTGAACACACACACACACACACACACAAGTAACATTATACAGACTCAATAGGTTATATTTAGGAATATATATGTGTGTGTATATATATATATATGTGTGTGTGTGTGTGTGTGTATATATATATATATGTATATATATATATATATGCATGCAATAATGATTAGTGAAAACAGAGGCCATGAATTTGAAGGAGAGCAGGAAAAACTATATGGAAGGTATGGGGGGGTAAGGTAGAAAGAATGTAATTATAATCTTTTTATTTAAAGCTGTGTGTGTGAGGTGTAAAAAGAGACTCACTGGTGGCAAAGGTGGCACCCCTGTGCCACCAAGACAGCCCTTCCCAGACCCCATGTTGTGGCCCTCTTGTGGGTTACAGGATGGAATATGTGCATCGCACACAGTAAGGGCATAAGCAGTTCAAAGCCGGGCTGTATATATTTGCGCAGACACATATGTGTAGACACCGGATTGACACAGCGTTCCACATTCACCGTGGGTTTCAAGGGAAAAAGCCTTAAAAGCAGCTGGCTGAGGGGTAGGCCTACTGAATATGGCTGCTTTGTGGCAAAAGCTAATTAGGATTCTTGCCAGGTTAGCAATTCAGTTCTAATTAATGAAACACTCCAATTTAACTCCCATCAATGGCGATGCTAACCGGCATCTCCCAAGTCCACGCTGGGAACCCTTTAAAGTGCATTTGTGCTCTCCAGGTTCTCTGAGTAAGTTCTTCAATTAGTTATTTAATGGCCGTGCACTGGAGGAGAGGGGGCATTAAAAGATA